GTTTCAAAATGTAAATAATTGAAAGTTTATCAGTTCATCAACATGTATGAAACACATTTTTGGATCTGAATAAAGAGATGGCACATCTTACCCCACTCTCCCCTATAATGTAAATACATGAACTTTTTGTAGATTTGTAACAGGACAGTTAATTTATCTGAATTGGATGCAGTCACTTATGAATCGATTCTCTCTTTTTGTAGTGTGTCATTTTTAGAGCTCTTCCATTAAATGACACAATTACAGATATTTCAGTTCTCATGATTCATAATGCAGCACTTTCCACAGCTTAGATCAGCGCTTTGAAATGCCGTCAGCCGTTCAGGGAACACTGGGAAACGTTTGTGAGGTTTGCAGTGATGTGACCACACACTGACAGCAGGAAGATACTAACATACCTGGGAAAATAACTCTCTTTTGCTCTTTAAATTTTTGTTGTTAAGATGACATTGTCTGACTCTGACCTCACAGCTGCCCTTCAATGCAGATACAAAACGAAAGAGGAGCAAATAACAACATCCATCATTTAGACCTCAAAGAGCAGGATTTGCTTCCATGTAAACGAACACAAAACAAGAACTTGCTTCCCTGTAAACGAGAACAAAAGGGGACATTTAGATGGTTTCCATTAAGAACAACGATTTGTTCTGTCATACAGAGGATCAGAAAAGAGTAAGTTAAGAACAAGGTGGTACAGCAGGAACTTTTAACATTTTAGTCGGAAAAATTGAACACACTAAAATGGATGTTAGTGTTTTTGCAATTGCATCTGGCACCATAAACTATAGGTGTTTTTCAACCACGTTGAAGCGTACATCACGGAGACGACTATTTGACATCTGCAAGACGTATTTTTAGAGTGTTTGCTCATCTGTAGTACGTCTATAGGACGTTTCCTATCAGATGTCAAATAGACGTTTAGAATATGTCTGTAAGATGTTTATGATTTAGAGTGTATGTAAAGCTGACATCTTAAAGACGTCTATCAGATGTTTGTACACAGCAGATGCTTTCCAGATGAAGTGATCTTTAACAGACATCTTGCAGACGTACATGTGCTATCTGGGTCGTCTTGTATTGAATGAACGACTTGCAGTTCCTTTGTCACTTTTGGCTTAGAGGGATAGTTCACCAAAAAATTAAAATAAATAAAAAAGATCTGTCATCATTTACTCACCTTCATGTTGTTTCAAACCTGTATGCGTTTCTGTCTTCTATGGAACATAACAAATAATACAAGAAATACAAAAATGTCTCAAAACTGGAACAGAAATTATATGAAACTAATTATATGAAACATTCTTAAAAATATCTTCTTTTGTGTTCTGCAAAAGAATTAAAGTCATACAGGTTTTGACTGACATGAAGGTGAGTAAATAATGACAGAATTTTTTATTTTTGGGTGAGCAATCACTTTTAGCCTTCCACCAGTAAAAACAACACCTTGTCTGGCGATCATATATCAGACAATTGACATTTACTGAGCAGTTTCACTTTAATAATTAAGGTTAAGAGCTGGAAAGGGAAACTCAGGTCGGAGGTCAACTTCCATGTGACCAATTTGAGACTGACCAATCTAGCTCAGCCGGTGCTCTGCAAGACTTGGCTGTGGTAAATTAGGGCAGGCAACAATGACGAAAAACATTTCCCAATCCATCAAGCCCTCCAAATCCTTTCAGCCTCAGGGCACCAGGCTGTGGAAGTTTAGTCAACACATTGTCAGGGGAGGTGATACATGCTGAATGTAAGCCAGGCTCTTGTTTTCTTTTCCCTTTCTCTCTCACACACACTTTATTGTTTCCATTTAATTCAGTAATGGGTCTGAGAAACATTTTGTCAGTCTGCGTTTGACAATACGCTCACCATGACTGAAAATCTGTTTTCACTCCCAAAACTCTTGGAAGGTGGTGTTTCCAGACATGAAGGAAAAAGAAAAGCAGGCTACATAATCAGACTGATAGTGGCAAATAAATCAGATATTGAATGACATCACTGGCAGGACTGTCATCATTCAGGTGGATTCTGCCAAAAAAATGAAGTAATCCTGTCTGGGTGATTAACAGTCTATAATAATCAGAGGCACAGGAACTGTATGCGGCATGTCAGATCTTGCCATAAGCCCTTTGTGAAACTGTATGCTTGATGATTTTTGGATCTGTATGGTTTCAGATGTGGTTTGGTCTTTATACTGCAGTCGGGTTATGAGTAGAAACTGGTTTGTAAATAAATAACCCCAGTATTGCTGCAGGCCGAGTGCCACAGGTAACTGCAGCCATACTGACATTCAGAACATCTAGATTGCAATGATGGTAGCACTTTTCCACAATGGTTCAATAAATAGGAAATTATTCATTTTAATAACTTGTTTCAGACTAAATTTAGCCAGTTATATTATATATTTTTCTTTGCTAGTGAAAACAATAGGGCTGGGTAAAAAATATCGATATCTCGATTTTAATCGATTCTCATTTTTACAGAACGATATAAATTCTTAAATCCCAAGAATCAATTATTCTAGCCTGTTTTCAGTTAATGGACGCAATATTGAAGGTCACCTCCCATCCAATATATCGCAATAAGCATTGTGCTTTGGCACTTTTAATATGAAACAAAGTCTCAGATTTCTATACATTTTCAATTTATGTCCATTGTATTGCAGTATTCAAACAATAAATGCCGTTTTGGCGCTGTTTAATGTGGAGTGACAGATCGCCGTAGCGCCTCGATCAACAGACGCAGCAGCGCGAGGCGCACATGAACTGATCATCTCCTCCACATTAATACCAGCTTCAGCACAAAATAAACATGACTAAACATCCGAAGGTAAGAAAAGAAAGAGTACAACTTTACAATTCGTATCCTGTCTCATGAAATAATTAATTACTCAATCAGTGTTTCAGCCGCGCAAAGACGTCAGTATAACAGCTTGTAAACAATGTCACGTAACGTCACATTGACTTCAGAAAAAACATATTCGGTGACCATAAACTCATTAGTCAGATAGAAAAATTATCTGCAGAGATAAACTCTATCATTAGCGGTTGTAATTACATCAGCAGATTCTGCACATTCGTGAACTTCATTAACATCTTATGGTATTACAGCTGTGAAATTACAAACAAAAAATACACATTCTGAGACATGAACTGAAATGAATTGTGAATTTTATCAACATTAAATCGACCTCCTCCCATTTTCACCTCAAAAATTTGAGGAAGCTGTGCCTCCCCTGCCTCCCCCGACGAGCCGCCACTGTGTTTTACAGCATTACTTGAGAGATTTTTTTTCCTTTGGCATGTACTGTACCTGATATGTATCCAAAATAATCGATATTGAATCGAATCGAATTGGTAATCAAATCGAATCATAAGCTTGTGAATTTGAATCGAATCGTGAAATTTGTGTCAAAACTCAGCCCTAGAAAATAATCCCCAAAATTTTGCATTTTTGCTGCAACAAATCTGATCTGAAAGTCAGCAGAACCTTCTGAGAACTTTACTAAAGGTTCCTCAATGAACTTATTCAGTGACAACTAAATTTTTTAGTTCAGGTCAAAATGAAAATCGAATAAAACATTTTCTCACCCTCAAGACATCCAAGATGTAGATGTGTTTTACTATTATCATTTATAAAGAACTCAAAAGTAAGAGTTCCTAAAGGACCCAAAAATCATTTACTCACCCTCATGTCCTTCCACACCTGTGTGAAGTTTTTGCTTCTACAGAGTACAAGAGAAGATATTTTGGACAATGTTGGGGTCCAAACAACATTGGAGCCCATTGAATGGACATAAAAACCACTGAGCTTTTTTTAGAATATCTTCTTTTGTGGTCCACAGAAGAAACAAATTCATACAGGTTTGGAATGCGAGTAAATGATGATAGAACTTTCATTTTTGGTTGAACTGTCCTAGACCAAAGTTAATGCTTGCTACTGTTAACATTTAGCAAGACCTAGCATTAGTAACTAAAGCTTCAAGTGGCAACTGAAATCAATTTGTTTGGCCTACTTTTCCCAGCATAGAAGACACGAAGAGCATGTTGTATCATGCATGTTGTATTATTATCAAAAATAATAAAATACTGTGCCAAACTACTTAATAAGGTTTATTTTCAAGAATATCAAGTGGTTTTCTTCATTAATGATCTCAGGGCAATTGTATCATCCTGACAGTTTAGACTCTTTTAAATTAAAAATTAAATCAGAAATTAAAAACATGCTAAAATATATAAATACACAACTGTAGATGTAGATGTGTTTTACTATTATCATTTATAAAGAACTCAAAAGTCCCTAAAGGTCCCTAAAGGACCCAAAAATCATTTACTCACCCTCATGTCCTTCCACACCTGTGTGAAGTTATTGCTTCTACAGAGTACAGGAGAAGATAGTTTGGACAATGTTGGGGTCCAAACAACATTGGAGCCCATTGAATGGACATATAAACCACTGAGCTTTTTTTTAGAATATTTTCTTTTGTGGTCCACAGAAGAAACAAAGTCATACAGGTTTGGAATGCGAGTAAATGATGATAGAACTTTCATTTTTGGTTGAACTGTCCTAGACCAAAGTTAATGCTTGCTACCATTAACATTTAGCAAGACCTAGCATTAGTAAATAAAGCTTCAAGTGGCAACTGAAATCAATTTGTTTGGCCTACTTTTCCCAGCATAGAAGACATGAAGAGCATGTGTGTTTTGAAGCTAGATAAACACATAGATGCTTCAGCATCTTGAGTGTGAGTTTGCAGGGTCTCTGTCACTCAAGCATTGGTGGTGTCGAATGCCAGAGCAGATATTCCTCTGGCTCTGAATCTCAAGCAAGGGACTAAACAAACTATTGTTGGAGATTTCTTGAAGAGGTCCATGTATCATAGTCAACAGCACTCTTCTGGACTCGGGGATGTTCATCATTTGACCACGGCTCTCACATGGGTCAAGAAAGAAAAATGAATATCTTCTGATGTAACAAGGGACTTGTTTCTGCTTCTCTTGCTGCAGAGTGACGGCCCAGCGAAGTATCGAAGATGCTGAGGAGATCGAGAGAGAAAGGCGACGTCGGGCCCGGGAGGCTTTCCGCAACCAGCAAAGCCTATCTGGATCTGCTGGTTCCCCTCAGGACAGTGTGAACCCACCTGAGACCGGCCTGTAAGTGTAAATGCCATTCTATTCTTCGCACTTCACCTGGTTTTAGTTAGGCTTGTTTTGTTGCCTAGTGGATTTCCAAGTGAAAAATGGAAATACGGACTTGCAACATGTCTGGTTCTCATTGCAACTTTTTCTTTCCAAAGGCTGTCCACTTCTGACCTACATGTAAAGCAACAAATCGCAGTTTGTTTAGTGTTGGGGTCAAATAAGAGTGTCCATGATAAAGAAAAAGAAAACTCTAGTTTAAAACACATGTGCCAAGTTCCTTTGTATTCATGTTGGTTTCATTTTTAAAATTGAATGAATATAAAAATGCCATGTGGTGTTACCATCATTACACCTTGAATACAATGTGAATGTAAACATCTTAATCATTATTTAAAAAGTTAAAAATTATTTATTAAAATAATTAATTAATAAATATAATTTAAATAAAATTAATTTAACATTTTTGGGGAGTTACACCACATGACATTTTACAACCTTAACTAATTATTATTATTTAATTAGAAAAAATAATAAAATACTGTGCCAAACTACTTAATAAGGTTTATTTTCAAGAATATCAAGTGGTTTTCTTCATTAATGATCTCAGGGCAATTGTATCATCCTGAGAGTTTAGACTCTTTTAAATTAAATCAGAAATTAAAAACATGCTAAAATATATAAATACACAAGTAACTGTATGCACGAATTGCATTTGTAATGCATTTTTGAACACATTTAGAGATACAGACGAATAAAAAAAAGATTAATATCACGTGATTGACCCTGTTACATATCTTTAAGGTTGGGCTTAGCAAAAGGTCAGTTTAGATTTATTTCTCTCAGCTAAACCTACACGTGCATATTTACAGGGGCACAGCTGTTCTCTCATCATTACCTAATCTCTGAAGAATTTTCAGCAGGCATGCCTTTGGAATAGGGTTTATGTCATATCCCACACCACAGAGCTTTGTTTTTAATCAGAGAAACATTACGGACCTCACATCCCACATATTTTATATGTGTGATGTTAAACACAGCTCACTGAGTCAACCTGTTTAAAGCAGAAATAGGTAATCTATGGCCACTTTGTAATGATCCTTGATCAGAGAAGATTCAAAGGTTCACTCTTGACTTAGAGACACATGAATCATTTTCAAGACTTTCTAGATCGGCTCATACAATAATCTTGTGTGTAGTGTAGTCAGCTTTTTAACTGGGCCATTGAATCGTAACGACTGATTGTTGATGGTTAGTCGTTATGCTTAGCTGAAAATCTGCTTAATAATCTTGTGGAATGTGCTTTGCATTCCTTTCCGGCAGCTCCTGGGCAGATAAAATAGATTTTAATTTCAAGGCTTCGCAACGAACCGAGTGAGAGGTGCTGTTGGTGTCAGTAAAAACGGCCTCTTTTATCACTGTATGAGCTTGAGTGCAGGTGTGTGTGTTTAAACCTTGTGTGAACTCTTTGAACAATCCCTTACACAAATTTACCCTTGTAACAATAGTTTGTTTCCATTTAAGTACTGTACTGTATATGGGACGGTGATGAAGTGATGTTCATCTAATTTAAACAAAAATACATTTAAATTGCAATTCATACATACAATGACAAGATGTCAAAATATATTTTAACATTTGAAATTTTTGTCTGCCAAATCAAATATGATCAACCAAACATGATCAGTGGAGTGGAACCTACCAAAATGTAGAAAAAACAGGAAATTATGTCATAGAGAGGGTTCATAAGTCAATAAGGGGTCACTTAGTCTCTTAAAATTAATTAATTAATTATTTGACCTTTCTTGACAAGGCGAGGTTAGCTCAGGTAAAATGTCATGTGGTGCAACTTCCCAAAAATTCAATGATATTTATGAATTAATAATCCAAGCAGTGTTGCCAAGTGTAAGATTTTACTGTGGTATTGGGCTACTTTTACACTGTTGGTCCATGGGTTGTTTTTTTAAGTCATCCTCCGCACTGCCCCGCTCTGCCCTGTCCTGCCCCATCCCTGAACGCACTTGGGCTAGTTTTGGCCGTGATTGGGCTAGTTTCGATTAGCAATTGGGTTGGTTTTGTTACGAAGACCTGGCAACCCTGAAACCAAGATTATACTGTTTATATACTGTCCATTGCCACAATTTATTAGTTCATTTAATCGTTTTAGGAAATTGTGGCCACATTGTACAAAATGAGGAAACAAATTTGTAGAAAGTGGCCACGATTTCCTAAAATGAGGGAACAAATTAATGTTGTAGGAACAAATTTCTAATTTGTGGCCAGGATTTAACTAAAATGAGGGAACAAATTCTTCATTTATGGCTATGATAAATGACTGGATTTCGCCTGTGAAAATTTTCTGAACAATGGTAAATGAGACACTCTATTGTGGTTCTTTACTGTGGACAATTTAATTTGCACTAAAACCATTATAAACTTGAATGGTATCTTGTTGCAACATGGGATGCGTTTCTGCATTTCATCTACACCATTTTTATATATAACATAATATACCGATGATTTGGGGTGCAATGTCATCTGCTGGTGTTAGTCCATTGTGTATTTTGAAAGAGAATCTATGGGGTATTGTCAAGAGGAAAATGAGAAACACGTGACCGTCATTTGCACTTATATATTGTTGCTCTTTTGTTAGTTTTGACTGGTTTTATTGTCCTCATTTCTAAGTCGCTTTAGATAAAAGTGTCTGCTAAATGTAAATGTATATATTATGTGAAAGAGTTCGCATTATGTAGCGCATTTCATCAAAATCCTCTGGTTGCCCCTGGCAAATGAAAGAAAACAACAACAAACTAGCACCTGTCAGATCGTCACACACACCTCTGTTCACATCTGTTTTTTTCAGGAGCGTGTTTGAAGTCAGTCTCTTGTGTTAACAGGCTGGCACAGTGATTTCAGAGCATAGTTTCTCTCATCAAAGTAACACCATCACAGGTGTGTGGGCCCATGTGCTGCTTTCACTGACTGGAGCTGTTCATGTGATTATATAGGTCTGCCTCTCATTCCTCTAAAAATGTCCAATGTCTCACCGCAAAGTAATGGAGTCTGAATTATCTTTAAAGAAAAGCCAGGGTCTTCATCTGATCCTAAATTCCATGGATTTTATCCTACATTAAAAGTGAGGAACAAATCAGGAATTTTAAAGGCTAAATCTGATGTGTAAATGTTCTTATGTATACAGCAACTAAACAGCAAGCTTTTTGGCACTTGTATATACTAGCAATTAAAATAATAAAATATTTTTATACAACAATGTAAAGATCAATACATAAGAATAAATGTGCTAATACAAGGATAAATACATCACAATATGCACAAATGAGCTGAAATGACACTGATGTCTCTAAAATGTATTTATTAATTATATACAGTATGATTTCCTAAATATATTGTGGGCTTTCTGTAGATGGAGTTGATGTGCTTGTTCAGATTGTTTTATAAAGATGTAAAGATTCATATAAAGTGGGATGCATTCAGGATGTTTTATTTTTGTGTTTATTTTTATTTATTTATTTATTTGCAGGAACATTTCTGAAATGTTTATATGCTGACATTTGTTAAAATTCTATGCAGGTCTTTATAAATGAGGCAGTTCATTTTGGGAGAGCATGATTAAGTATATTTGACCTATTTTGTAAATTGAGTTTAAGCAAATTATATATTTAAAATATTTTTACATTTAAAAATGTTTGTAATTATTTTTTTTGTGATCATCTTTTTATTGTCTTTCAAATTCAAGGAAGGAGGAATAACACACAAAAATACAACATTGTAACATTGTAATTTTAATGGTAAGAAACTGTAAAAAATATAATAAAAACTTGGTATTAAGTTCCCTTACACTATACAGGGAAAAAACTATAATAGATCTAATGTGATATTTCATGTAAAATATTGTTACATTTTCAGTTTGTGCAGGCAAAATGAAAAAGTCGTCTTATTATTTACAGTGAAAAAAATGTGAATTGACATTCCCTGAATTCTCTGCGTGACAGCTCAAATTTGATTTGTTTTTCATTTAAATAACGACTTCTTTTAAGTTTTTTACTATTAGTTGTGTGCATACATTAGGTTTTATGTTTCATCTTATGTTGTTAAATGAACATTTATAGCATTATTTGTTGCATTGCATTTGCATTATTGTTTTTTTTTAACTGTACATTTAATTTCAATCTGTAAAACTTAAAATGTTGCTACCTTATTTTTACAGTAAAGTTCTGGCAAGCTGCCAATTTTGTTTACTGTAATTTTTTTTTTACAATATAGAAAATTTTATAGGAATTAAGAATTATTATTTTTTTAAGTTTAAGTTTAAAAGCAAGATTCAAATCTTTGTTTCCCACATGAGCACCACAGCTCAATGCACGTGTTCTAACTGCTAAGCCACAGCTCATTTAATATTTTATTTACTTACAAGTTTGTTGTTTTTTTCAGCTATGAAAGTGAACTCAAACCCAGCTGCCCTATTGCTGTGGATGAGGATGAAGGTTTCAGCGACTGGACCCAGAAGCTGGAACAGAGAACACGGTCCAGAATGGATGAGAACGTCAGTGGAGAACAACCACAACAGGAGGAGAAAGACGTGAATGCAAGATCTAGACAAAGTGAGAAAAGCAGCTTCACCACTTCCATGCAGTATCAGCAAATGCAGGACCGAGAAGAAGAGGAGAAAAGACCAGAGGGGAGGAGGAGCGCTGAGAGACGAACAGAGATCAGAGAGAGGGTTAGCAGTCAGAGACCAGAGGAATGGCGTGATGACATGAGAGACAGCAAAAGCAGACAACAGGAAATACAACCACCGATGGAGAACAAGGTGCCTGGAGAATTGTTACAATATTAGAAGCACAGCACATCATATCATGTATGTTACTGTGTCTAAATCAATGCCATCACTCACAGATAAAAGAGGAGAAGGAGGTGGTGAAGGTGTCATACACGTCTAAAGTCTTCCTACAGCAAGACAGAACACCTAATGGCAATGGAGAGGCTGCTGCAGAGGAAATTACATCACATCTGGTCAAAACCAAAAGATCACCCAGGTAACTTTATTCCATGCACATTCACACACGTAGGCTTTTGGGTGAATCTTACATACTTACATACATACTGTACATAAATAGCATTTTGCATACAAAAGAATGAAGCCTGTTTTAGGGACATTACAATTTTTCATTGTGACATTACTTTCATGACAAATAATCACACTTTTTCCATAATTCCTATTATTGCAAATATCACTATATATATATACATACATACAGTGATTTTTGCAATAATAGGAATTATGGAAAAAGTGTGAAAATGTAAAATGTTTACACTTTAAAATGTAATTTATTTCTGTGATCAAAGCTGGATTTTCAGCATCATCACTCCAGTCTTCAGTGTCACATGATCTTTCAGAAATCATTCTAATGCTGATTTGCTGCTTAAAGCAGCCCTATGTAACTTTCTGTGTTCAAAATTTGTTAAATGTTTATAATGAGCGAGTACATCATGAATTCATCTTCCGAACTGCATTTTTTTCTTATTCCGAATCACTACGTTACACTTATAATAAGTATTTATATCTGGACTATTGCAGTCGGGTCATCGCTGCTGTGGAGTAACACATACCTGCGTGAATCACCATAGACATAAACTTAGAACGTTCTTCCGCGGGATGTGTGCAGTTCTGTTTATTAACAGAACATAAAGTTACATAGTGCTGCTTTAAGAAACATTTCTGATTGGGCTATCATCAATGCTGAAAACAGTAGTGCTGCTTAATATTTTTGTGGAAAGCTTGATACCTTTTTTCAGGATTCTTTGATGAATAGAAAGTTCAAAAGAACATAATTTATAGAGAATAGAAATCTTTTGTAACATTATGAAATGCCTTTACTGTCACTTTTGATCAATTTAATGCATAATTGCTTAATAAAGGTAAAAAAAAATCGTCATTATAAAGAAAATAAATACATAAATAATATTATATACTCTTATTCACTATTTTTAAAGTACAGCCTGTTTAATTGTAAGAGTCAAAGAAAGGGAAAATTATGTATTGGCAAAATAATTGTTTTGATGACAGCTATTATATATGTTTTTGATTAATAAGGATGGTTTGAAGAAAGCTTGACAACATTTAACATTTTAAGTTGACTATAGGGGGAAAACTACATGTAGAATTTGGTCTTGTTACATTTAGAGGCTTTTGTCATATTTGTTACAGACGTGACCTAATATTGTTGCTGCCAAAAAGGTTGTGCCAGGAAGTTTCTAAAAGGGCTGTTAAGGGAGTTAGTATCTAATCTCGTATAGCCAGATCTTTAACTAATACCGTAAGCTCTGGCCCATTTTACTGCTTATTCTGGCCAACTATCCACTTTGACAGAAAAAACTGACCAACCACAATTAGTTTTATTTTTATGTTTTATGTTCATCTGAGATGGATTCATAATAGGCTGTGAGGAAAAATGATAACCTCTGCAAACCAAAAATAGCAGTAATGTATGACTGATCAGAGAATGTCTGCCTGTCCGAAAGTCATTTTTACTGATTGTTTCACAGAAATTCTCTCAGCCTACCCCCGTTTTACTGTTCTTCACTCTTCTCCAGCAGGACTGTAGATGTAAATCAGGCCTTTGAGACTAAGAAAGACATGCACGCTGGTCTGGAGACCGAGCTGAAGCTGGAGAAGATCAGACATAGCCACCAGGAGAAGGAGAGCCAGGAAATGGATCAGCTACAGCAGCGTCAGGCCGAGGCTGAGCTGGAGCTGGAGGAACTGAAGAAGAAGAGAGAGGAACGACGCAAAGCTCGCGAAGAGGAGGAGCTGAGGAGAGAGGAAAAGGAACAGAAGAAACTAGTTAAAAAAGAGGTGGCTTGGCTGATTTCTATTCTTCTGTTTTGGTGGGAATGTTAAACTGGTTTCTTCCAGCAGTAGAACATTATTTAAGGTTTGCATAAAACATAGTCAATTTAATAATAACTACAGGAGGACAAGAGGCAGATGAAGGAGGACATTGAGAGGAGGAGGATGGAAGCAGCAGAGAAGAGAATGAAGGATCTCAACATCACTTCTACAGATGGTGATGACCCATTTAACCCTCTAAACCCCATAAGTCCAGCTTTCAAGGTAACTATACATATCTGCGTTAATATTCTCAATCTTTCCCTACAGAAAAGTACCATGATACTATGAGATGGTAATGCCATGCAGCTTTGACATACACCATGGTGCTGACACCATGTTTCTTCACATGCATTCTTATGATTTTCATGGTACTCCGAGGTACCAAAACAAAAGGATAATTCCATGGTACACTCTTAAAAATAAAGGTTCTTTATTGGGATTGATGGTTCCGTGAAGAACCTTCAACATCCATGAAATCTTTCCATCTTTCCAAGGTTCTTTATAGTGGAAAAAGGTTCTTCTGATTATTAAAATGTTCTTCACACTACACTCTTAAAAATGAAGTGTTCCCAAAATAACTTTTCAGTGAACAAGTTCTCAAAAGAACCATTATTTTCTTAGTGTGCCGAACATTTTAATAATCTAAAGGTACTTTTTTGTACCTAAAAACCTAAACATGTTGTTAATGCCATCACTCACAACAAATAAACCTTTATCAGACAGTGAAGAATTATGCTAACAAAAAATATTTTGTTCTTTTTTTTTCTCAGAATACAAGCTCCATTTTATTTTGTAAGTTGCTTGTGTTTGTTGTGCTGTGATCATACCCGCATGTTTGCAGTGTATAAGTGATTGAACACATCTTTTGAGTGACATGCATGCATATTTATATGTTGATCTCCATAAGGACATTCCAGGTTCAGAACAAATTAACATGATTTCAGTTTTATGTAAAATACTTATGATCCACATTTCTGTAAAAGCAAAATGACATTTAATTTGATAACTGACAGCTTGTCATTAGAACCTCACTCTGGAACTTGGAATATTCCTTAAAATGGGTTTTATTTATTTTTACTTTCATGTTTTTGCTCATTTAGTTTAACTACCAAAACTGCTTGACGAGTGTGTTATTTTTAATAACGAGTTTAATTGCTGCATTTGCTTTACAGTGTGTAAAAACAGCTGTGCACATCTTGTAGAATTACAAGATGTGTAATTCTACAAGTAGAATTACTTGTAGAATTACAAGTAACTAATGGACGTAGGGGATGTCGTGGCCTAATGATTAGAGAGTTGGACTCGTTACCCAAAGGTTGTGGGTTCGAGTCTCGTACTGGCAGGGATTGTAGGTGGGGGGAGTGAATGTACAGCGCGCTCTCTCCTACCTTCAATACCGTGACTGAGGTGCCCTTGAGCAAGGCACTGAACCCCCAACTGCTCCCCGGGCGCCGCAGCAAAAAAATGACTGCCCACTGCTGTGTGTGCGTGTTCACTGCTGTGTGTGTGCACTTAGGATGGGTTAAATGCAGATCACTAATTCTGAGTATGGGTCACCATACTTGGCCACATGTCACGTCACTTTCACTTTCTTTACAAGAGGGAGTTAAGACGATTCTAAGGGCCCACGCACTTTTGGGGCCCCCAGAGATCTGTTTTATTAGTAGTAACAGTAGTAGTAGTAATTTAATAGAAATGATAAATGTATCTACCAAAGAGTTACAAATAAAACAAAATTGAGGCTTATTTCCAGCAAAATTATCTCCCCCCATTCACTGCATGGTTTTGTCCCGTCCTACATAGCCTAGAGTCACTGAGTGAGATCAGATGGTAAACTGTCAAATTAGAGATGTCTTCGAGTTCGAGGGGTGGCAAACCGAGCCGGATGATTTGGTCAGTATGAATTACTCATCCACTGTTTTTAAAAAAAATACTTCAGCTGGGTTTCACAGGCAGGGTCACAATTATCTAGCGTATGAAGCTTAAGGTTTTTGGGTTAAGGTTCATAATGTAGAACATTTTTAACATTGCATGCTGTATGTGCCTAGGTAGCTAGCAAACAAGGAATACAGCTGTTAAGCTAATAGTCACATTTAGCTGAGTAAGATCATGATTGAGAAATGTTGGATACTGCTGGAAATGCTGCTATGGGGTATCCTATTTATTATTTTTTTGTTTGCCCCAGTGAAGCATTTCTATTAATATAACTGATTAAGAAGTCAAACTCATTCCACATCAGCAGAATAGTGTGGTACAGAAAGTCTATGTTCATAAAACAGGTTCTGAATGAATTATGTTACTGATACCTAATGGTCAAAAGCAATAACAAAAGTAATAGGTCAATATTATTAAATTGCAGACAACGATTTTGAATAGCTAGGCTGGCTTGTACACTATATTGACAAAATTATTGGGACACCCCCTTCTAATGAACAGGTTTGACTACTTTAGTAATTTCTCATTTTTAGTAAAAAAAAAAAGCATATAATGATATTCTAGGGAATTGTGTGGACAAATGTATTGGGACATCCCCTTCTTTAGAACAGAAAAAGGCACTTCCAAAACTGTGGCATCAAAGATGGAAACATAATTCAATATAAACAATATTTAAAAAATGTATTTCCATCTTTGTTGCCACAGTTTTGGAAGTATCTAAAATGATTGTACGCATGTGTACAAGTCATTGGTGTTTGGTGATGAGTTTTATTGAGTTTTCCCAATACTTTGGGCAATATAGTGTATGTTTGGTGCGGTAGGGAGCCCAACCTCATATGCTTTCATAGGGCCCAAAATTGCTAGCGGCGCCCCTGCTTAGCAGTGCCCTGGCAACTACAAAGCATTATGGTGCTGAGGTTTGCATGGGCAAAAGTTCTGCAAACTCTTTAATGTGGGGATTCATCTCTAGTCAAATCTTACCAACATAAATAGAGTCAAATATAGTGTAAGGTTAGGTATTTCTGTTATAGTGTTCATTCCTTGTGTTTATCCACTTTTATGATATATACTATATTCTCTACCCAAAAGATAAAATTGACTCTGATAATGGCTTAATACAACAATATGTTAGGAAAGCACTCATGCATTAACCATACATGCATTAATGGCATCAGACTCATAATTTCTCATAAAGATTCTCATAAATCTGAAATGGCTAATACCAAAATAATAAGGTTTGGTCGAATTAGCAACATTGGGAACTTTTTTGCTCTCAAACTCTCAGTCACACAGATTCCTATTTAAACTATTGTATATCAACCACAACATTTTTCCAAACAACAAAAGCGTGTCCTCATCTATGGACCAGTGGTAGTTTTTCCTTTACAATTCAAATTGACTATATTAAGTGGGGATTTGCAGTCTGTGTTTTAGGGACCCTGAGTTTTCCAGGGCTAGTCTGTATATTTACGCAAGACACAGAAGTGATTGACAGTTGAAAGTACATTCTCAGTGAACAGAGGTTAAAAAGCCAACAGGCCCAACAGCGACACAAGGGGTGCTTTTGTGAGCCTGAAACATGAGCCTGTTAACATGTACTCTGTTAGTCTGAGGAAGTGAGAAAAGACTGAACGGAACTACAGTGTGGATTTCTCTCATTATTACAAATCCTCAAAGAATTCATATTTACACCTGTACTCATTCGTTTGGCCTCATTTTTCATCCAGCAAATTGATCAAAATTACAGGTTGACCCCATAGGACCTTCTGGAGAATCTAAAGATAAGAAGTTTTTAGTTCATGCAAAAATTTAAATTCTTGTAACGCTCCCTTTTGTTGTTCAAAACATGTACTTTTTCTTTTTTGTACTGAAGCAAAACAATAAATATATTTTTAAGAATTTTTACTCCTAAAATGGAAAAGGAAAAAAGGGGGGAAAAAAACCCCATCAAGAAATATCATAAAAGTGGTCTGTTTCATAAGTACATATATATATATACATATATCTATATATATATATATATATATATATATATATATATATATATATATATATATATATATATATATA